AGAGTGAATTAAAAGCAATAATTTATCTTGTGTTAAGATGTTTTTACTGATATGATTTGAAAGAGGCTCAGGTGACCTATAATAATGTGGACTTGGTAGGCTGTTGACATCTCTGTTCCATGTCAGAGACCTTTTTTTTTTTTTTTTTTAAATCGGAGTGGTCCTTGTGCAAGAGTGCATGAGACACCATCATTCAGTGTTGCAGCCTGACACAGCACAAAACCCCGCCTCATGGAAATGTAAGTCAAAACCCAATAACTCATATTCTGTTGCTTCTATTAAGTTAATGCATGAGGCATTCATCACTCTCAGCTGCCTTGTAATGTTATGACAGCCTCACCAGCTAAGTATCTGTCATGGTTCTTGCATGGCTTGGAGTGATCTCGTGAGGTGGGCAACACCCAGTGGACCATTTGCAGAATTAGTGGTTCGAGAGTGCATGGCTAAAAGACGAGAGTTCCCTGGCCGCAGGCACGTCCACTGCGTCCCGTTGGCTTATTGTGTCGCAGTGACTTAGATAGAGCTCCCCCAAAACCACTTTTGTCGCCCTTGAGGATTATCTTTCACCCCGAGGTAAATACAAAGAAGCCTTCGTCCCTCTCCGCTCGGCCAGCATGAAGAGAGAAAGGGCGGCAAATACATTTATTCTCGAACCCATATTTCTGCAAAACGAGGATTCTCGTACCGTGTTTGCAGCAACCAGCGGCCAGGACCTCCGGAGCGACCCTGCAGGTCAGCCTGCTGACGCAGCCGCTCCCCACCACCAGCGGGGCGTGCTTCGTAAGCATCTTCCAGGGTCCTGCGTACCCTCGTGTAGCAATACCACCACGCTCTTCGCCGCAGGTGACCAGTGACAACCAGCGCGGCCAGGCCAGCTCAGCTGCCCGCGGCACCTTGGTGTCGGAGACTCCACCAGCTGGGTATGTGGTTCTTGCACGGCTTGGAGTGATCTTGTGAGGTGGGAATCACCCGATTCTCGTACCGTGTTTGCAGCAACCAGCAGCCAGGACCTCTGGAGCGGCCCTGCAGGGCGGCCTGCTAGCGCAGCCGCTCCCCACCACCAGCGGGGCGTGCTTCGCAAGCATCTTCCAGGGTCCTGCGTACCCCCGTGTAGCAATACCACCGCACCCTTCGCTGCAGGTGACCAGTGACAACCAGCGCGGCCAGGCCAGCGCAGCTGCCCTCGGCACCTTGGTGTGGGCGGCCTCCACCAGCTGGGTGTGTGTCATGGTTCTTGCACTGCTTGGAGTGATCTCATGAGGTGGGCAACACCCAATTCTTGTACCGTGTTTGTGGCAACCAGCGGCCAAGACTTCTGAGCGAACCCTACAGCCTCTTTCTCCATCACCTGTTTCACCTAGGCTCACTGAAGATGTCTTTCTTCAGATGAGCCGGAAGATCAAGCAGCTGGAGAACGAGAATCATCGCTTGGTGAGGCAGGCTGCCTTACAAAAGACAAAGGAAGCGACATTCCGGTCTCACTTGCACAAGTTCTTCACTGCGGACCAACTGGCAGCTCTATCGAGATCCAGCAACAGGGGGTCCAAGCGGTCTAATGAGACGGTGAAGAAGTCGCTGCAGATGCGATCTGCATGTGGCAGCTTGGGCTACGACTTGCTACTGGAGGGGAGCTTCCCATTGCCGTCGTCTAGAACTCTGGGGCAGCGGCTTGAAGGCAAGTTTGTTGTCAGGCTACTCAAATGCTTCAAAGCTCCCTGTTGATTATTTGCAGATATAATATCCTTGTTAGTAACTGTAGTATTTTTGTATTTTACACAATTTATTTTTAAATGATAAGTTGGTGTCATGGTTCCTTTTTCACTTAGTTGCAGTGTGGTATGAAGGGGTAGATTATTGATATTGTGTTGGAATGATTCTCTCATCGCAGGCATACAGCACTAGTTTGACCTCAGTATCTTGCACGCGTCGAGATGTGAATTCAAGTTTAGAGGGGGAGTGTTTCCTTCACTCCCAATTTTTGTAACCTTGCTGATGTGACCATGGAGGTAATTATGCTGACGGTGTCTAGGAGAGCACCCTGTGGTGATGATGGTCGAATGAGGCTTATGGATTCCATACGAGCACTGCATGAACACTTGACTTGGGTTCGTGACAATAAGTGCCTCGGCAAACATTTGGGCAGCTCATGACTAATCTCTGCACACGAATGGCCAAAATTAAACATTGTTTACAGCTCAGCACATGCTGCACATGTTGCCATCCCCGGCCTATGGCTATACACAGTTCTCACGTGACGTCATTCTAGTCACCATTCCCAGGTACTAAGCGTCCCATTAATGTAGTGGAAGGTAGGTCTAATCTGGATCCCGTGATTGGCGCGGCCCTACTAGAATAAAACGTCATCATCTCACCTACCAATCGTGTGTGTCCTGTGTCCTGTGATGTCGAGATCGCTCTAGCGCTCTTATTAGTTGCCCTTGGGACTCGCAATGAGTTGGCCGCGTGCCGTTCGTTCGGTGATGTGCACAGTTTCTAAGTGCTGGCAAAGTCGCGATTGCAGCGAGTTAGCGCAGTTGAGTGCGCTTCTTAACGAGCACCGGTGTGCTGTGCAGAAGCGACACTTACAGAGAAAACACCATGATCGTGCGTATTTTGCAGGCACTGCGATTGTGCATTGAGTGGAAGGCACACCTCCAGAGAAGAAGAGGTCACGCGCGTGTGCGACGAATTCAGGAAAACATTGTAACGTAGCGTAATGATTGTTCATGTTCCTGGTCAATATGAGTGCTTACCTCAAGGCCAAAAAAAAAAAAAAACTGGCTTTTACCATGAATATGTGTTACTCTACAAGTGAGGTCCTGTCAAGCAGTGTGCATCATTGCTCATCATTTCTTTAGTCTAAAATTTAAAACGAATATTTGGGTATAGCAAGAGGACTGACAAATCTCTCATCTACTTACAATCTCTATGTAAGGCTTGATTTATTTGAAGCGAGAGTCATTCAGTAATTTATATCAGAATTAACTGAGCCTTGGCAGTGGGTAGGCAGATACTTGAGAATAACCTAAATGAAACCAGCTAGATTTTCCTTTACAAAGTATAATCATTGCTCACATGCTGAGTTTGTGCACTACTCTACAGGAAAAATGCTGTTGACAAGGAGAACTAAATGACAAGCTTCATTTGTTGCTTCGATTAACAACTGCAGAATTTACGCACATCCTTGAGAATGTGAACAAAACATACTCAAAATTACTCTTGTCTAACCTCATTTCAGTGGATTACTGTGTGCCCCTTGATATTAGGTGTTTTAGGTATGATAGTCTTTATATCATATCTAAAATGACTTTTTATTCATACTCGTTCACACTCATTCATCACTCAAATACTATGTTTTGAAAAATGTGTACTAAGGTAAGAGTGCTAAGCTAAGTTAGCATGTAGCTCAGCTTGTTTATAGCTAGCTAAGCTAGTTACACACGACTGGAAGCTAACTTAGGTTAGCTTCCATTAAGCTAAGCTACCTTCCGCCATCTTGACATCAACACTGTCAAGATGGCGGAAGCTGAGCGCAATGGCAGTATCAGAAAGGCACAGCAAGTATTCAATATGCGATTCGAAATTATTCGACCCAAGTCGCTATTAGCTTCTTATTCGCTTGAAACATAAAATTTGTTATTCGCACGTGCCTGCTTAAGGGGAAACTAAAGCGGTTTTGTACCTTTAAAAAACACTTGCATCATCTTCATATGGCCTCCAGTATCACGAATATTAAAATTATTTGTCAATTTGAGGTCCGGAGTAGCCATCAAAGCATTTTGACCATAGCGGTGAAGCCCCGCCCTCCCGAGGTGTAAGAAGCTAGGAGGAAATTTCTGAGAGACAGCAGCGTCGCAACAAGGATCCTCGGAATCTCTGCAGCTATTGCAAGCTTATTTGAGTGGTCGACAAATTGTGTGCGATTCACCTCATGCTCACGATTTTCACTCGCCTGTTTGTTTTGACGTAAGTTTAGTACACCTATAAACTTTCATAAAAGATTTAGCGGATGTTGGTCAGGCGTGAAAGGTTGTAGCGGGAACTAGGCGTCTGTAGCAGATGACGCACCATTTCACGAGAATAAAAAAAGCGCTGCATTGGGCAAGGCTGGTCACATGTGCCGGAACACTGCACGAGAGATGGTGCTTGAGCTTCGGTGGCCAGGTGAAAGTTCTCGACGTGACATCATGCCGAGTGAATTTTTTAAATATTTCTTTGCGTTGGGTGATACTTCTTGAGCAAATAGTGCATATTCAAATTTGCAGGATACAAATACGGAAGAATTTACCTCTAACTCATTTTTTTTGGAGAACCTCTTTAGCTTCCCTTAAAGTGTTTTCAACAAAATCAGTCAGTGGTTCACAAATCGGAGTCGGTGACACTTTTAGCAACGCACAGCTACCAAAGTAACCATGGAGTGTACTTTACTTCAGTGCTGGCATTCATCACCTTTGCTCATGAAGTGGAACTGCCAACTTTAAGAGAGTGGCAAAAACTAGTAAAAAACCAGCAAATACCATTCGTATGAACAACAATAATGGAAGTTAGCAGCCTTTTCTTCGTTTAGTGCCCATGCTGTTCTTTTATTGACTGAGGGGGAAGTTTCAAATCATTGATTCCTTCAGTCGAGTTTACCAAACATTGCATACACTTGATGATCTAAAGCAGTTCTGTGTTTGTAGGTGAGCACTGCCCTACGGGTCCTCAGTCACTCCACGGCCACTGCCCTGCGCTTCCTGGTGGAGAATCATGGCTGGAGCACCAACTTCCTCACCACGGCTTGGTTCTTGGAACAGGTCAACAAATGGTTTGATCTTATGAGCAGCAGGCACCCAGTCCTTGTGATCAGCAGGCAAAATGAGGCCTGCTACAAGAACACCCTTGACTTTCTGGTCAAATTTAAGGATCTTTTTTTCCACCTCACTATTGGCGATGGGGCGTTCAAGCCAGTGCAGGCGGGCGTAATCCTCTCTGCCAAGTCCATTCTGGACCTGCAGCAAAGTCTCATTGAGAGACATTCTTTTTCATTTGTGCTCACATCCAGATTCACGCAGGACTGCCATGAAAACTTGTTTTCGGTAGTGCGACAGGGCAACCCTATCCCAACTTCTTGGAGTTTAAGATGACCTTGAAAATCATCACACACTCGCAGTACCTGAAGGCGTCCAAGGCAGGGTCCTACGAACTGGACGATGCCTCCTTTCACCTGGCTGACCTCGCAGACTTGGATGTACAACCTGCTGTGCCCACCGACATTTTTCTTGAGGAGGTAGAACTCACCATGTCACAACCTGAGGAGAATAGCTTTGACTATTACGCGGGTATGTGGTACGAAGGAGTTGTAAAAAATAATGCTACATGTGACACGTGTGCTGCAGCTGTTCAAGTCCCCATGGCACCTGCAAATAGCCTCCTCAGGCTAAAGAGTTATGTCCCTGACGCTCTGACCTGCCCCTCTGAAGCTGCACGCGCCCTCTTCACAATTTGTGAAAGTGTCTTTCGCAGCCTCATTGCGGATTTGATGCATGCACGGGGCATCCTGGACGGCCTATCGCCGAGGATGGCTGCAGAGAGCCAATGTGTTCAGCTGCCCGACTGCCATGAAATCAAAATGAAGCTCATCAGGCGATTCTGCCATGCACGGCTGCAACTGTTCCTGCGGGAAAAAAGTCGCGAGTTAGCGGCTGGGGCAGCTGAACGCAGGGACTTCGGCAGTCGATGGCAGGACCTCGGAGAACTAATTAGTGTTTTAGATTGCCTTAGTTGATGAAACTGTTGTCCCGTTCTCATTTTTTTTTACTTTGCTTTCTTCTTTGTGTTAAGGGCAGCTTTCATTTTTTACGTTCCTTGTTTACCGAGGCACTTCTGAATTTGTTTTACTCTTGCAACGGTTGTTTGTGCGAGGCCCTTTTTCTTGTGATCTCCATGTAAGCCTACGTGAAGCCTCTGCATTTTTTTTTATGCTTGCTACAGATGTTTGTGGGAAGTTTCTTGTGCTGTGCTTGTAAGCATCTGTAATTTTTTTATGCTTGCTATGGGTCTGTAAAGAAGCCCATTTTCTTGTGTGCTGCCTGAGGCCTCTGAATTTTTTTTTACGCTTGCTATGGGTCTTTGTGGAACGCTTTTTTTTCTTAGGCTCTGCCTGTAAACCTGTGTGAGGCCTCTGAATTTTTTTTACGCTTACTAGAGATGTTTATGGGAAGCTCTTTTTCTTATGCTCTACGTGCAAGCCTGCATGAAGCCTCTGGTGTTTTTTCATGCTTGCTTCAGATGTTTGTGGGAATCCTTTCTTTTTCTTGTGCTCTGCGTGTAAGTTTGCGTGAAGCATCTAAATTTTTTTCACACTTTCTTCAGCTCTTTGTGGGAAGCTTGCTTTTTCTTATGCTCTGCATGTAAGCCTGAGTGAAGTCCCAGAATATTCTTTTACTTTTACGCTTGCTTCAGATGTTTGTGGGAAGCTTTTCTTTTTATTGTGCTCTGTGCGTATGGCTGCATGAAGCCTCTGAATTTTTTTACGCTTGCTACGGTTCTTTGTGGGGAGCACTTTTTCTTCTGCTCTGCGTGTAGGCCTATGTGAAGCTTTCGCTGGCATGCAAACTTGCTCTTCTGTATCATGTTTTTTTTTTCTTGTCCTCCTTCTTGTGCTGTGCACTGCTTATGTTTCACTCATCCTTTTTTGCTTCATGTGGATGTTTGTAGCCTACACTTTCCTTCCTGGTGTCTTGCATGAAAGCCTATGCAGAGACTTCCTGCCCATGTTAGCTTGTCTTTTCCCGTCATTCTTCTGTTAACTTTCCTCGTGTCATTCGCACACCTCGAAATATGCACTCTCTCTGTATCCTTAAGTTTTTCACTTCTGCACTTGCTTAAGACATTTGCAAGCCATCCCTTTACTTCATGAGCTTTCCATGTGAGCCTTCACCGTGCAGCACCTTTACGCTTCTGGGAGCCTATGCTTGGCCTCCGACCCTTTTGGTTTATCCACTTGCCTATTTTAATTTTGCAGTTTCTGTGTTTTTTCTTGCAGAGGCACGAGACCCATGTCCCCTCCATGGTCATCGGTTGCAGCTTTTGGGTCTGTCTCATTTTATTTCATTGTAGTTGCAGACTTAATTATTGTCAGGTATCTGTGTGTTTGTTCGTTTGCAGTAGACCTAACTGCCGCCATTTCCTTTCCGTGAGTTAGTTTTTGTCAGACGCTCGTACTCAGTGTAACAGGTGCAAGGGCTGGGTTTTGTTGCTGTGTCCAGGATGTTGCAAGGAGACTGCTGGCCAATGGACTTCTTCCAAAACCGACGCGCCCCATTGCGGCGAAATACCATGCAGTGCATTCTGGGAACTAGTTGGCCACTCAGTTTCGGTTTCGACTGAGCAGATTCATCTCATGCTATCACGCCGCGACCGAACGCACTGCTTGCGTTTTCGATTATCTGACTTTTTTACGAATGTACAATATACTCATTCTTGAGCGGTATAAAACGAAAGCCGGGGCACTTTTTTTGGTTCCCGAAACACCGGATATTTGAGTGCGTATGTAAACGTAGTAGGACGTGGCTTAGTCACATCATCTTTGAGTTCAATTTCAATAATCCCGTCTAGTACCATTGAACTACAAGTGAAATTCAGTCACCTGGAGCATTACACATATTTTGTTTGCCAAATGTCCGCTTCTTGTTACTTCATTGGGCGAAAAGCAAGCCGCATTCTCACAGGAGTATCAAAGTTGAGCCCAGCGTTGACGCGTAAACTTTTAAGGAAACGCAATAAATTCGACCTCACTACTGCACCAAAGTTACTATGATGTCTTCCTCGTGTCATCATATATCTCCCACTCAAATTTTATGCTGATAGAAGATTAAGTTTTCGCAAACGCGGAGATGGGCTAGCTACGACGGAGGCCCTAACAAGCGTCCCCTACTCCTCGCTAAGCCTTTTTGGACGAGCTTTTACTGACGCCCAAGATCTGTGCCTGAACGGTGTGTCCGTAATTATCGCAGCATACTCAGGCAGGAAGAAAGCTAACACATGACAAATATTATGGCCATTAGCAACCATCAAATGCACTTTGAATAATTTCGTTCGTTTGGCGCACCGCATAGGGGTTCATACCCGTCCGGCGTACTTCTGGCGAATGGTGCAACATTTTTTACACAAGTGCTCGACTTTTGCTTTCTTAAAACGGTTTGTATGCGCGAATGTGCCTATACGATTGCAGGATAACTTTACGTGCATACGCGATGTTGAATATTAGTAAAATGCAAGTGGGTGGGGACTTCGCTTCGTGCAGTGCTGCGGGTCAGTACAGATAAGAGATAAGAAGTGTGTTATAATTGAGCTTTTCAATGGCACCTCCGAGTTTTACTTCGCGTACACAGGCGTATTAAGAAAACAGTAATTGCAATAAGTAATATTTCATCTATGGACGCACGAAACGAACAAACTTCCTGATCAACAACATATAATGTAAAGGCGCGAGCTCGATGTATGCATACTTATTGGTTGCTACAGCCTGTTGATTCGTACATAAGCAAGATCCCCGAGCTTCGCAGCGTCGAGATTCCCAGCACTGGCTCGTCCAGATACCTCGAAACGCTAACAAAAAGGCTCAAGTACAAAAATAGAACAAGCATGTGTTAAGAGAAGCTATATACGTCTCGGGCTTGTGCTAAAGCTTCGAGGTCTGGCCATTTAGGTTAGTTTATAGACCACAAATGACGCTCCCGGGACCAGAAAACATGAGATAATGGCCGTTTATAGTCCACGCTCTGTGTGTAATCTCTGGTCGACGTGTCGATCGAAACCGAAACCATGCCACTCTCCTCCCTGGCCAACTAGTTCCCAGAGTGCAACGCGCGCCGTGTGGCATGCAGGGCTTTATGGAAGTAGTCTATTGTGTGCATGCATCAAGAATAGTTGTGTGTCAGAAGTTCCTTTATTTCCTTGTTTTTTGACTCCATACAGACCAATGTTGAAATTGTTGGTGGCTGCTTCATCCATGGAGTGCAAGGATCATACCTATTTGTTTCTTAGGGAATAATTGACATGGCCGTGTCATACATGTTTGTTACATGGTCACTGGAAAGTGTGGGAAAAGAGAGAAAGCCCATGGCCGTTGCACAGGGAAGCCCCCAGAAACACTGACCCCTGGTGGTGGCCTGATCCAACACTTTGCCGCACAAGCTAAAGGTTCATCTTGGTTGGTGTCGTCCGTGCCTGAGTGGGGCATCCTTGCACTGCTTAAAATGCCTGCTCAGTTCCTGGTCCATAGCCTGGTTTTTTCACTTGTTAACTGCCAATCAAGTTAGTGCCCAGTGGTAATTTCATCATCTGACTAGAAATGAGTTGAGTTAAAGCGTCTGGGGCACAACTGGCCCAGGTGGTGCTTCATTGTGCCATGGTGGATTTTACCAAAGTCATGCAGTTTTCAACAACCTGGAAGATGATCTTGGTCCCCATTGTTCTACAGCTCCCATGTTTCTTTCGAAAACAGGGCTGCTTTCTTTAAGGTTGCTAGGTCTTTCCAGGTCTACCTTTGGCTCCTGGGTCTCAGTGATGAGGTCCATGCAGCAAACTCTAGGACAAAAGTTGAACACCTGCATTACGCAGTTGTGATTACACGAACACACTGTTTTACGAGACTCATCCAGTTCGAAACGGCCAGGGGCGAGCAGGAGGTTGAGGCTCAGAAAAACTTTGAAGCGACCTGACAAACCTGCTCGCCACCCCTTGCACGCTGGTAGTAATCCGACCCGGTGAAGTTTATAATTGTCCTGGAGGTTTATTTTCTGGGACGGAGGAATCGCCTCGCAAAAAGCATGAAAGCCGACACAACTCGAGGTCGAGGAGCGTTCTACCATACAAGTGGCGTCGGAAGAGGAAAGACGGGGGGAAAGAGGGTAGCGGGGGGGGGGGGGGGGGGGGGGAGAGGGAGGGGGGAGGGGGGGGGGGGGGGAGGGGGGAGGGGGAGGGGGCTTCAGCCTCCTCCTCTACCTTGCAGGTATTTCGGACTGTTAAAGAAAGCAATACGGGGAAAGAGGGCGTGGTCGAGCTTATTTTAATCTGAAATTATTTATGCCTATGTATAGCTATAGATACTGTCGCTCTTCACTGCATAAAAGGTCATTGTTAGAAACTCGTTGTCGGAAGGCACTACTCGTCACATGCTTAGTGGTTCGGAAGTTCAAAGCTGTCTTTTCGACCTAAATACCTGTGCCGATAGTAACAAGAAAAAAAAAACAAGAATGAATAAATGCGGAAATAAAAAGCAGGAGAAAAAAAAAAACTATCAAGAATTCGTCGGAAGTGTTCTATTCTTGCATATTCAGAGGTTTAGAACTTCGAAACAAGTTTCTTTTACCAAGATGTGTACAGGCTAAAAGAAACACGTCCCAAAAGCGTGAAGCGAAAAAGAAAAAAAAAACTTTTCTTTGCTGAACTTGAACACTGTTGGACACCTTCTCCCATGAGTTAATTTATTCCTTAACGTGAAAAAACAATAAATATATTATTTTGTATTCTGCAGATGGCAATGATATGTACTGTCTGTGGTGTTAATTTAAATGCGATACCTCAAACAACTTAGACGAAAATAAATATCAAGTTTAGGTCAAAATTGCATGCAGATAAATGTTTGGACATTTCTTCGAAACTCACGTTGAATAACAATAATCACATCTTAAGACGGCACTTGCCTAAGCTATACATAGATCATTCTTAAAAAAGTATAACATGTCTACCATAAATAGCTCCGGCTGCAGCGTGCTTCAAATCTGGCGCAAACGATAATCGTCAAAAACCCGTCGTCCTTCCTCGCCCCTTCGGGGATTTATTTCTTTAAACCTAAGCATGCCAGAAAATTGAAATAAACGACATTGTCTTTTGTAAGGAACGCAACACCGCGTGTAAAAGTGCGAGAAAAAAAATTACGAATGTACCCCACTACTTTAAATCAAATGAAACCGTCCGCCGGTCTTTCGAAGTTCGACGAACGTCGAACTTTTACCCTAGAAGTTCGAAGTTCGTCGAACTTCTGACTTTTCTGAATTCAAAAGTTTGAAACTTTTCGAATACTCTTGATAAACAAGTTCGAAAGTTCGAAATTTATCGAATTTTTTGGTCAGTCAAGTTCGAAAGTTCGAAAAAGATTGAATTTCTTAGCGTAATAAGTTCGACGGTTCGAAAAGCGTCAAACTTCTTAGCTTAACAAGTTCGAAAATTCGACCTCCGTCGAATTTCACGATATAGACAATTCGAAAAATCGAAATCTTTCGAACCTCTCGAACCGCTTGATTCGATCATCGAAACTTCGATTCGAAAAAAAGTTTGCGGCATCCCTAGTTGTTAGCTTGGAGAGACTATGCTGAGCTGTCGATGAGAAAGCTGTCGTAAAATTTCCAAAAATATATATTTATTATTGGCGCAGTTGGTTTTGTAATTGTTTACTCAGACTTCTTTTCGAGCGTGTTCTAAGAGCCATGTTAACAGGTAAAAAGAAAACTAAAAAGTTATACTTCTCTTATTTGTTTGCAGCACAGTCAACAAGCTGCAAAGAGCAGCATGAACAAAATGAACCGGAAAAGATGCCCAGCCACCAGCAAGCTGATGACTGCGCCACTTCACCATGCTGTGCCACGATGCCAAATTGTGTGCCAACGCCAAGCTGTGCCACGACGCCAAGCCACATCGCTGATGCACCAGATGAGCCTCCGAGATTTTGCTCAACGCTTTCCACCAACCAGAACCAAATGTCTGACGACAACCCGTCGCTGCCAATGCCGACTAACGACCTGGACAAGCAAGCCAGGCAAGCACGGGGTCCTTTTCAGCCTCATCTGGGCAGCTATGCCCAAACAGAAACGAATAATCGAAAGCGCAGCTTTTGTGAACACTGGTTTGCAAAGTTCAGCTGGCTTGAATACAGTCCAGCAAAAGATGCAGCCTTTTGCTTTTGTGGTCGGGCGTTTCCGCCGGGCAGTGGTACCAAAGCACATTTAGACCCATCCTTTGTTTCAACTGGGTTTCGAGCTTGGAAGAAAGCGATAGGAAGGTTTAATCAGCATGAAAGGTCTGAGGGCCATCTTAACAGTGTTGTGTCATGGAATTGCTCCAAAGCAAACAGATCGATTGGTTCAATGCTGGATGAAAGCTTTGAACGACGAGCGTCTCAAGTTGAAGAAAAACGAAAACAAAATCGTGAGGTGCTAAAGCGCCTTACTGACATCGTTGTTCTTCTCTCAAAGGGAGGAAGGCCATTCAGAGGGCACAGTGAAAATAAGGAAAGCGCAGAGCAAGGTCTATATTTAGAGATAGTTAATATCTTAAAGAAGTACGACCCCGTTTTGCGGGGCCACTTAGAGTCAGGCCCAAAAAACGCCTCTTACATCAGCAACAGAATAAAAAAGGACATCCTAGAGTCACTGCATGCAGCCATTTTTTCTTCGATTGTCCACCGCATAGAAGGTAAAACAGTCTCGCTCATGTGCGACGAAACAAGTGACTGCAGTCATCATGAACAACTCTCCGTTGTTATTAGGTACTTCTGCGAAATTAAGAACAGGCCAGTGGAGGTCTTCCTTACTCTCGACAGGCTTAAAAATTTAGACAGCGACTCTGTGTTTTCCACTTTGCAAGCAGTTCTCAACACCATCAATGTTTCCTGGAATTCTGCGAGTTCCGTCTGCTTTGACGGGGCTTCTACTATGTCAGGGCACGTTGCTGGCGTTCAAGCAAAGTGCAAAGAGCAGAACAACAAGCTCGTCTACGTTCACTGCTAGGCCCACAGCTTAAACCTGGTGCTTGTCGATGCATGCTTGTCCTGAGCAGAAAACAGAATGATGTTTGATTTCTTTGGCGTTGTGCAACTTGCATACAACTTTATTGAAAACAGTGTTGTGCGCCATGCTGTTTTTGAGCGAATTTTCCAAACTGTCGGCACACAGCTGAAAACTTTGAAGTCTTTGTCTACAACCAGATGGGCATGTCGTGCTGAAGCAGTAAAGGCCAGTTCGCTGTGAGAGCTACAGCGAACTGTCGAGTGCAGTAAGAACGATTGTGGACTCCACAAAGCACCCGGAGACGAAAGCAAAAGGCAAGGGACTCCTTTCCCAGGTGATGAGCTTTGACTTTGTCTGCAGCATGGAAATAGCTCACCCTATTCTACAGCTTATTTTGAAGGTTAGCCGAGCTCTTCAGGACCCTAAAATTAACCTTACCACTGCACTCAATGAAGTCAGGCATCTGCAAAAAGCGCTGCGAGAGATGAGGCAAGATGGGACAGTCTTTAAAAAGATGTTTGCGGAAGCTTCTTCGATCTGCGAGATGAATGAAATCGAGATTCCCGAAGTTCGAAGAAGAAAGGTATCGAAGCGATTTGACCAAAACTGGGCGAATGAATGTTTCTATGCGACAAAAGAGGAGGAATTTCGTGTCTGTGTTTTCTTTCCGATGCCCGACTCCTGTGTTCGAGGGATCGAGGAAAGGTTCACACAAGAAACTTTTGAGCTTGTGTGTGCTCTCCAGAACCTTTTGGGCCTCTCTGTGAGCGACGAACAAATATCTCTTATTTGTAGCTTTTTGAGGTAGATCCCGACAGCTTGGGTGCTGAAATGCAACTCCTGAAGCCCCGAACCAGCGACGAAAAAGCAAACAGCATGACCGCCTATGACTGGCTGGATTCACTCAAAGAAAATGGGTTGGACAAGTCAGTATTCAAGGACTTTTCTCGCACTCTTCAACTTTTTTTCACGATTCCTGTAACCAGTTGCTCGTGCGAAAGGACATTTTCGAAGCTCGCACATGTAAAGACCAAGTTAAGATCCATGATGTCGCAGGAACGGCTTCGTTGGCTGATGCTGCCCTTTGTGGAGCAGGACCTAGCAACATCCATCAGTTTTGATAATATCTTAAAGCATTTTACGACTAAAACGCGCAAACTTTTGTTATGAATGTGTTTTAATTTCGCAGGATATGCTCTCGCATTAACCTACAATGTCACATAATTCTACTTTTTAATTGGTTGACAGCCGGCGGAAGAGGGTGCTTTACAGCCAATTCCGTCCGAACTAAGGTTCGCCTCTCACACTGATAGTATTTTTGCACAGCTCAGCTTGAATAGTACTTTTGTATAGTGTAGTTAATTTTACTGTGTGTTACTGTTTTCATTTGCACCAGCCCTGTTGTTGTGTTGTGTTAAATTTTTTTTTAGAGTACCGTTTGTGAACTGAAATTGTGTATCGTCTGAGCCCTCGTGCGATTCATTTTCTTTCTGTGTTTTGTGATGGCGCTTGTGCCCTACGAGTGCAAGCTGTGGTTTCTTTATCGTGGGGGTCTCCACTTTTGCTTGGCAATAAATCGTTTTTGTTGTTAGAAAAGTTATCTCATCTTCTTATTTCTCCCACACTTCAAAGCGCATGTAAGTCCACTTTCACGCAGAGCACTCGCAAATCCAATTACTGCGGTCTACGAGGGTATGGATACGATGACACGTAACAGTGGCAAGTATGACGTTTTGTGGCATTACGTCATGTTCGGTGTCACAGCTCAGATTTAATTTTTAGGTTCAAACATATTTCAAGCCTTATCATTCTCCGGGCCCCATTCGTAAACCGCAATAATTAGACTTCCAAGTAATCTGCGGGAAAGTAAACTGAAAGGTAGTTTTATAGTGACACTGAAGTAAACTTGGAAGTCATATTTCGCGGTTAAAATATGGTGTTCTAGTGCACTCCTACTAGGGTACACTAGAACACCTTACCCCCAGAGCCTTACCCCTACGGCGTAAGGGTCTCGGTGAGACGGGGGTGAGGGGGGGGGGGGGGGGGCGCTGCAGTGAATTTGGCCCCCCCTATAGGAGGACCCTGTGCACGCCTATGATCTTGCAGTATGCTTTGCATGTTATATTTCTCAATTTAGAAATGATTAAGTCTTGATATATTGATTGGAACATGTCATAGCATCAGTAAACCTAGATGCAAGGGGACAGAGAGGAGATAAAAAAAAGAGACAACACACACACCATCCCGTTCAGTGTTGTCACTCTTTTTTTTGTGTCTTCTCCTTTCGGTCTTCCTGCGCCTAAGATTTAGTAATGTTTGAAATTCACGGTCTTGCCTGTGCCGTGATATGTTACAATGTCTGCTATGTTACAAGTCAAGAGAGATGCCTAAATAGTTGCCATAGCACCCTATTTATAATGGCATGCAATAGTGTTTTAAATGTGTGGGATGTGTATGGGGGGGGGGGGGGTATGTTGCCATGACGAAAATTGTATAAATTATAGGAGGCATGTTGTCTCTAAAATGTTGTGTTTTATCAAATTTACTATAACTTACCTGATGCAGCATAAAATGCCCCAAGGTAACTTCTTTGCCTTCCTTTCTGCACTTCCTTCTTCCTTCTAATGCAGCAGTAGTCACTACTAACCATTCATGTTTTTAACTTTCCGTGACGCATAACACATCATTTCGATGCATTTCTACTACCCGCCATTGTGATAGGCAAAATATTTGCCTTACTTTTTTATCTCTGCCATTCCATGTGCCATAAAATGATGAGCATGTGCTCATATCGCAATAGGTGTCCACCCCACTTTTGAAAATTTAAAAAGTGATTAAGAACATATCAAGCACCCAGGCCAGTAAACTTCTGAATGTATTGAATGAAACAAGGTGCTCCTCCGCATCAACCACATTTCCCAGTGCGCTGGTGCAGAGCGGTGAAGCTTTCCATGCTCACTCCGGTAAGAAGCAATGAAGCTTCACATGAGAGTGCCAGCACAAAGCTGGCTGGATGCAAGCGGTGCAACTGCTTTAAGAAAATAGGGGTCCCACCAGACTACAACACTGCTCCTGCACCGTTCTTACTTTCAGCGCTGGAACCTGCAAAGTGCCCATCCCATATTTTTTACAATTATCTCCAACCATTTGATGAGCGCTTTCTCAATATTTTACGGCACATAGCTTCTGGTAGGAATGCCAGTTTCTTTGTCTTAAACACCAGCTGGTGGAGTACCTGCGAAACTCTTGAAAACCCATTGACAAACTTGGGGATTATGATTCTAACCCATTGTTCATAAAGCGATTGTGGTAAGATTTGTTTGTTATGCCAAGAGCACAATAACACTGATCTTGGGAAGCTGTTTTTAACCACATTTTGATATCATACATGCATAACATGCCATTTACTGCAAAATTAACAGGACACCTGAGCATGGTAAGTTATCTTGAGTATTTATCATTCTTCTGTTCTTTTTGGGATGAGTTTTGAGTGGAATCCCCTTGCTTGAATGGGAACAATATAAGGCTTAAAATTTCACTGTTAATTATTTTTCAGTAATTTTTAATACATTTTAAATAAACTTTTTATTACTAATGAAAGACACAGGACTTGTTTATACTAACACTTCTTTTTACTGTAGGCTGCAAGTCTGCAAGCAAATATCAAAACTTGCCCATTTTAAATTAAGGAGTGCACAAATCATTCTTCTCTAAGAAGCTTAAAGGCTTTACTGAAGATTGGTACTCGGATAACTGACACTGCCTCACACTCTTTATAATAAAATGTCATGCTTTTGCTTTAACATTTGTGGTACACTGTTTCCCCTCTAATGTGTGGTACATGCCTTAATGCTTTCTGTAACTCTAATGGGATGTCTGGATCACCAAGTGGAGAAAGGTAATGTACTCCAAAATTTATGAAGGGGCAATAGGCTCTCAGGATTTATTGTTAAAGGTTTGCCGTTTGTCACCAATTTAAAAAAAAAAAAGTGTGCACAAGAAGTTGCGCCTATAATGGTAGAAGAGTGGCGTAGTGATTCCGTAAGCACAATAATTAGGAGGTGCATCCACCAAGGACACGCTGTCGATATAATTGAGCATCCAAAACAACAATGTTATTCTTCTATGTATCATCATTGGTGCAATTTCCTGCACTCTTTCCAGCGCCATTTGACCGTTAACCAACAAAGTTGCTTTGCTCTCTCTGAAAGCATATTTTATACCTTTTGTGAGTGACTCTCGAAATAAATTTGCATACTGGTAGCTGTGTGTGTTTCTTTTTATGTACCACCACATTATAATTCGTTGGGAGTAGTTTATAATAGACTCCATGACTAATGAAAGAGAAGTTTAGGCATACTAAGATGTGACTCTCAATATAGTGGGCATACCTCTGTAATGCAGATTTTTTTTTGTTAAAGCCAGGAGTGCAAGTTTTATGGAGGTGCTAATAAAACATTTGGCACGATGCATGTGTTGCTGAAAAATTATTGGCCCATTCACCTCGTTTGGACAGAAGGTAAATAAAAAATAATCACACTGACGCACTGCCAGCACATCGAAGCAAAAGTTCTGCAGCAGGTGAGTAAGGCACAGGCACAAAAAAGGTACATGGACACAAAACTTTGTGCACATGCCTGTGTGCCCAAACATAACTTTACATTTTAGCTCTGATATGGAAGGATTTATGCTCCGCTCATGTAAAAAGGTACTTCGCCAATTGTCTTTTTACTTGATTGCAAACAATGAGCTACAACAGCCTTTTTTTAAAAAAAATCTTAAGGGTGCAGGCGAGCTGGTGAATATTAACCATGTTGAATTAACCCGAGACTGGGGTAGAGAGAAACATCAAAACGTAGAAGGGACAGAAAATGGACAGGACGACGTCTCAAACTCAGCTAACTCGTTTATTTAGTCCACCTCTTAATATAGTCTCAATCTCGAAGTCATCTCCACCAACACGAAAGGACGAAGTCTATACAGATCAAGCGCCACAGCCTTCATCACACAATGCAAGAACGTTGACAACG